GGTCCCCCCCCCCCCCCCCAGTGCTGGAACTGGGGTGCGCCTCTTGGCTTGAAGCGGTTTCCACCAGAGCCAAGGTTTACAGGTGGATAAGGAGTCCTGTGGCACCTTATTTGGGCATAAGCTTTGGTGGGTAAAAACCCGCTTGGTCAGGCTGGTTCCGTGCCTCTCAGCAGCCCCACAATACAGATTGTTCCAGCATCCCTGCCTGTGTGCTCCCATTGATCCCTGCCAGCCACAGAGCTTGGGCAGCTGGGCTGGGAGGGAAAGGGGGTCAGTGGCTAGGGACCTGGGTGCCGTTCTGATGACTTTTGCATGGGGGTCTGCTGGTGAGAAAAGTTAGATCTGCTCTCTGCCGACACTGCCTAGATTCCACACTGGGGTGTTACCAGACTCCCCGTCTGAGCTCATTGGATTCCCAGTGACTGTTGCTATAGTTAGCTTTGAAGAGGACTGTGGCTTGTAAGGGGAGGAATAAAAATACCAGGAGCAGACGCACATTGGAAACAGTCAAGTCTTCCAAGCAAATGCTCTAGCTTAAAACAAAGGGCCAAACTGAGCTCCATCAGCAACAGCTCCGGCCCTGTCTCCTACTGTCAGTGACACACAATAGAACAGTTCCTGATTAGCCCTGCTTGCAGAGTTTTCCATGAGATGTCAGCAATGCTTTTAAAGAACACACTTATGCTTGTCTGGTCTGTTGGACCTATTTCTGAATGGGCTGGTTGCTGACTCTGAGTTTACTGCTGCCACCTGCTGCCTGCCTCTAATGAGATAAGGAGTGTTTTCTAATCCTTTCTTGGCAGATGGGCCTAAAGGCATGTTTCGAACTGAAAATAAAGTGGGGAGGGGGAGGTATTAATGATTGTAATACTGGGTATGAAGGAAGTGAAATTGAAATTGTAAACTGTGCCTCCAAGTTTCTCCATGGAGATATCAGATTAATAGAAATGATGACATTCCCTGTGTGTCACTGATTCCAGTCAGGCCTAGGATGTGAGTAACTCTAACAAAGCTTAACAGCTCACCAAGAGAACACTGTCGGATCCTTACAAAACATCCGTCTGCCTGTCATTCCCTGAATTAAACATCTGTGGGTTTCATCCTTTTGCCTAATGCAGCTTGCGTACTGAGACTTACAGTGTGACCACAATCACTGGTGTGTGAAACCTCGGAGTAACTGAAAGGCAAAATCATCAGTAGTTCTTAAACATTTCTTCTCCATCAGATTACTAATAGCTGAATATTTTTGGAAAGTGTTTCAGTGGCAGGTTTGAACATAATTTATCTTGAGGGCTGGCCTCCATCCAGTTGTCTCAGCATTGTCCCTGGAAATTTGTTGTATAGTACACAAGCTTTAGCACACCTAGTAATGGAGGGATTTTTTTTTAAATTTTGTCTTTACAGGTGTTCCCTCTCAAACACTACCAGGACAAAATTCGACCTTATATTCAGCTGCCGTCTCATAAAAATATTACTGGGGTAGTAGAAGTGATTCTGGGGGACACCAAGGCCTACGTCTTCCTTGAGAAGGACTTTGGGGACATGCACTCCTATGTGAGGAGCTGCAAAAGGCTGCGAGAAGAGGAGGCTGCCAAGCTGTTCAAGCAGATTGTCTCAGCCGTAGCTCACTGCCACCAGTCGGCCATTGTGCTGGGTGACCTCAAGCTCAGGAAATTTGTCTTTTCTACTGAAGAAAGGTGAGTTGTGCTGAATGAGTGGTCTTCGTGGAGGTGGAGAGGAGGAATAGCCCTTCCTGAATAGATTTCTCCTCTAGTTAATCAAGGTTCTATAAAATCTTCAGAGCAAACTAGGGGAAAGGCATTTTCTTTGGGGGAGAGGGGGGGGACACACTGTAGATAAGTGAAATAAGGTTCTAAACCCGCTGTCCTCTGCAACTTGTCCTGTACACCACTTGGGGTGAGGTGTAGGGGTGTGTGTCTGTATCCCTAACATGTCATGGCTCTGATCTGTAAATATTAATTTTTCCTTGGAGCTTGAGTGTACGTGTACTTACCTAGCATAAATTCCTTTCTGATTCAGCAGCTGCTCCGATTAAACTGTTTGGTGTACAAACAGATAACGATTTGAGAACTTCCTAGATCTAGATGTCAAAAATGCAATGCATTTGAACATCAGATTCAAAGTGAAATGAGAAAAAAGCAGGAAATGAAATGAAGCTGGGACATTATATAACAAAGGGGAAACAACTTTGATTTAAAAACAAAGGTGTAAAGAATCCAGGCTGCCATGCTGTAACTGGATTTTTGCAGGTGAATTCTTATCTTTTTGCAAATATCCACTGAACTCAGTGCTAGTGTAGTTGGAGTCTGTGCTATTCAAAGTTACACTTACAGTGAAAGTAGAAGCATTTCTCTCTCCTCCTTTACAGAGTTCAGCCTTCATATTTAAGATCTAAGTGCCACATGTCTGGTGTGCTTGTATATGGTCATAGACATCCCTTCCCCTCGCAGAAAGAAATGAATGAATTAAATAGAGTAAATGTTGCAACTTGAAGGAGAACCCAAATGTTAAATGAGCTACTTGTGGTATGGACAGACACACACTGTCTCTAATCAATTTTAGCCCTAAGTATAGGTTTTGTAAAAGTTAGATTTACAAGATCTAGGTCAGTAGAACTATGCCTGATTTAAAAAAAATTATTCAGACAAGAAAAAAGTATGTAAACAAACATTTCTGTGCAATGTTTCCTGTCCTTGAGTTGCAGCATAGTGCAATTCAAAACCTGAAAGGTAATATTCTGAACAAAACTGAAAGCAACTAGTTTATTATTCTAGTAAAAACTGCAGAGTCAATACCATTTCACCATGGGGACATTTTTTAAATTCTTTCACTAGTAATAGCTAAGATCATAAAACAAGGAAATTCACTTTTTAAAATAATTTTAACTTGGACAATATTGCTGAGTTAACTTATTAATGTATGAAGCAAGGTAGTTGTTCCAATGCTTCCTTTTTTTTTCTAAGTAGAAAAATATATATTACCCTACAAAAAAGCTCCCCTGAAGGAAACTTTTGCAGTTTTTCCAACCAGTCATGATAAGATGCAGCCATTGCTGGAATATAAGATCACACACAGTCTTTCTAATTTGGAAATATGCATTGTACAGGCTAGTATCGTATGCATCAGATTTGGTAACATGAGGGTTAAGCAGTGTAAGGCAGACTCTCTTAGTCTAAGAAGAACAGGTGCAGTGTTTTAGTGCTACAGCAGCCAATCAGAGGCCAACAGCATAGGCTGAGTCATATTTTCCGTTTACAGAACCAATGGGTATTTTACATTACGGTAGGAAGTCACATTGAGGACATGCTGCAGTTAATGTATTTACGCACCATTAAGCTGTAAGGCAGAATAAAGCCGTTCAAGAGCAGAGGAAGGGCTCCTCATCTAATGTAAAACCTTTCTACTTTCCCTGTGCAATTAGGAATTAGGATGAGCCTGTCCCTGCAGAAGAGATGGCCATTGCAGCATGACATGGAATATCATTTGGGGGGAAAATATAAATGAGCAGGAGGGTTAATCACCACTGTATGTGCAAAAGAAATTCGGACTTTGAGATTTTAAAAAGCATGCTGCTGTATGTGCAGTCTCATTGATAAACAGGAGACAGTCATTAAATTAACCAAGCACAGTTCCAGTACAATCTAGGTAGAATGGCACTTAGGGGTATTCCTTGATTGTGGAATTTGGACAATGTATGGGCTATAAATAACATTATTTTCCATAATATGTAGTATTGTGTAACATTGAAACTGTAGCCTTACCTTTGTTGCAATCGTACCGGATCTAGCCTAGCACTCAGTTTCTCTGTTAAATGTTCACAACTAAGTTTTTTCCCCCCTCCCTTTGGTCACGGTACTGCGGTTGGGGCTGTATGAAGTTATTTTTGTGCTCATTATTAAAACAGTTTTGTAACATGTACATCTGTTTTTCTGTTCCCCAGGACTCAGCTGAGACTAGAAAGCCTAGAGGACACTCACATCATCAAGGGGGAAGATGATGCTCTCTCAGATAAACATGGCTGCCCAGCATATGTCAGTCCTGAGATCTTAAACACAACAGGGACCTACTCTGGAAAATCAGCTGATGTTTGGAGTTTAGGAGTAATGCTGTATACCCTCCTCGTAGGACGCTATCCCTTCCATGATTCAGACCCTAGTACTCTGTTTTCTAAAATCCGCCGGGGACAGTTCTGTATTCCTGATCACGTCTCTCCGAAAGCCAGATGTCTCATTCGCAGTCTACTGAGACGGGAGCCCTCCGAAAGACTAACTGCTCCAGAGATCTTGCTTCATCCTTGGTTTGAAGCAGTTTTGGAACCGGGATACGTAGACCAGGATATAGGAACTTCTGATCAAATTGTTCCAGAACATCATGGAGACAATGATGATATTAGTTCCTTCTTCTGTTAATCCTGAAATCTCCAAGAACCTCCTACAGTTCTCGCACATGGCATCTTTTTAGGGTTTCATTTTTCCACGTTACAAATGACAGCATTCTAAAGTGTAACTATAATCAGAAAAGCGACTGTTTAAAAAACAAACAAGCAAGGCAGGCAACGACTTATACCGTGGATCCAGAGTCTTCTCTGCTTATTCTGCTGGCAAGTTCTTACTATTAATGCTGCAGGGCCAATACAGTTGTGGAAGAGCCAGCTGGAATCTGCTCTGCCTCGTGCATCATCATCAACAGCCCAATTGCCGGGTGATCTTTGATTGCAGAATCTTATTACTGGTGATGTAAGACAGATAGACAGAAGCTAAGCCTCCCAGTTTTCCCCATAGGTATTAAGTGGAATGTGTAACCCTGACAGTGAAAAGTCTAAATGGGAGAAGACCAAATCTGACATGGAAATTAGTAAAAGGAATCAGATTACTGTGTTGCCAGTTTTATAGAGTAATTTTCTGACTATAAGTGCACTTTGATAGTGGAGAGAGATCTTGACCCACCAAGTCCAACTACATGCTCACTTGTCAGCTAGATCCTGCTATTCTATGATGCTATTGAAGTTCCATCCATAAAGTAAATGTAAACTATTGTCTTTCTTTGTTACATTAAATCCATCTGAGAGTTCAGGTAGTAATACAATCTTCCTGAACATAAAATTCATTTTTTAATTTATTTAAACCTGATTGTGACAAAGAATATATAATTCTATAAGGGTCCTTGCATATATTTCTGTACCAAAACACAGCACCATGGATTGGAGCACCTTGTCTTAGAGATAAGGGATATCTTGTACAGCATATGTGAACCCTTCTGTTTTTGCACAGGCTCAGTTCTACAGAGTATGCATCTTAGGTTTAAAATCCTGTACAAAAACTTGGTTGGTCTTGAACCTTAAACTCTCCAGATATTCTTACTTGACTATGCAGGTATATCATCTGCTTCTGACTACGTTTGTCTCTCTTAATTTTTTGCATGATTATTCATATTTCAAATTTGTGTGGATAATGAATACATCTAAATAATCATTACTTTCCTGGGTTAGGAATAAGTAAAGCCTAGTCCTGCCTAAAAATTCTGCTTTGTTTCATGTACATGCCTGGTTGATGATGTACGGAAATATTAATGTCTATTATAAGTGGTTCTCTAAGATGGCATATAAACAGTTCCTAAAGTGTGTTAAACGGGTAAATGATTGTGCTGTACATTGACAAAATGGCACTACAAGAATGCAGTTATTTTAAGGACTGACCCTTGGCCAGCTACGGTACCACCAGGCATAGTGAGAATGCTATGTATACCTCATGTACGTTGTACATATATCTTACTGTTTGGAGGAGGGAGGGGGTTGCTGTTGTTTGTGTGTCCTAATAACTGAAGTGTCAAAGAGCAGTTTAATGTGAATTATTGTTGGCAATACTAACTTGACAGAATCATGAGCATTAGAGAAGGGTGAAGTACTTCTGTTGCACTAAATCTCTCATGATTGCTTGACGTTTGTATCTGTGATACAGTTTAAAAAGTAAATCTGTATATATTGGTGGGAAAAGCTGCCACAAAATCTAAAAACACTATGTCCAACCTGTAAATATGTATATATGTGGAAACCTAGATGATAAAGTCTGACTTGTATAAAAGTTTTAATAAACCTGGTTTCATAAACATTTGTTCTCAGTTTTTTGTTTTTTGGTGTCCTGAAGTTAAGCTTATTTAGACTTATTAATCTAAAATATATTTTGGTCTCAAAGATACTTTTAACCTACAGTCGTGCAGCTGTTTGGTCACATGGGAGATGCTTTCCACTTAGCACCAAATCCTGCAGTTGTCACTCAAGCAAAATTCCCATTAATCTAGTGGGAGCTATGCCTGAGTAAGGACTGCAGAATGACTTCTAGCACTTTTCTTCACGTATTTCAAAGGCCTTTGTGGAAACAGTAATCCAGTAGATCTCATCACAAGAGCCCTGTGGAATGGGTTAAGATGTATTAGACCTATTCTTCAGATGTGGAAACTGAGACACGGAGGTTAAGGCTCTTTTTCAAAACCACTTCTATTTTAGATGTATGTTTTTAGATACTCATCCTGAGAAACAAGGATCTGAATCGTAATACCATGCACCTTGCAAAGCTCTCCCATATCAGAGAGCTTTCATTTTTGCACAGGTGGCTATAAGTACACCATGTGCAAGCCATTAGGAAATTAGAGCTAAAACTGAACAGCTGAAAGTAGGGGCTGATTTTTTTTTTTAAAAGGCAATCTTTACTCATAATGCCCAAGGGCACATAGCAAGTCAGTTGTGAATTAAACCCAGGAATCTTGCTTCCAGTTTCATTAGTTGATTCACAAGATATAGGCACGCAAACTGATATGAAAATACAGATAGCTGTGTTTCTTGGACACAAGGATGAGGAATATACATAGTAATTATACCAAGGTTATAGAATGTACCTTCCTTAGAGATGTCCTTGTGAGCTACTCAGGAATGATGAGGTCATTATTATCAAGTGCAGGGAAAGAAGAGATTCTTAGCTTCTATTTTTACCTTTCACCATAGTTAACATTATCCTTGGAGTTTAAATCTGTTTACCAGCACAGCAACTTGGCAAAATCTTTGCCTATGTCAAACTATACCAGCTTTCACAGAACTCCATTTTTAAGAGTAAACTAAAAGGGAGAAGAGGTGAAGTAATTGGTCAATGCAGAGGAACATGTTTTTTTTATCTTCACTGCACCTATTCTCCCATTGTGAGAGATTAGTTATGTATGCAGTCGGCATATTTTCCATGTGCTCGCTGAGAGTACGTCAAACACCAAAATATCTCAAGTTACTTTACTGAACTTATTCTTGCAGGGGGTATATAAATATACACCTAGATAGTCTGATTGAATTACCCACGGCCTTACCATGTGTTGTCTTGCATGGAAGCCCTCATGCATCGTTATCAAATAATTGCAGGAGGTTTGGACTTTGATAAATGCTCTAAAGTTTTCAAAGCATTTTTTCATCCTACAATTAAATCACCCTTATTAGGCTAGCAGCTGGGCCACCCCATGACTTTTTTTTCTCACAGGCATTGACAATTGAGCAGTTAGAATGAGCACAAATGGTAACAATGTCTACAAACAACCTCAGTGTTGCTTTTGAGATTATAATATAACATCCATTCTGACCGCAGAATAAATTGCTGGTGCTTTGTAACTTCATCGTTCATGCGTTACTATACATGAAGTTTCAGAGCATATTGACAGACCGAGCATATGAAGTAACCAAAACTTTCTTGGTGGGTGTGAGAAACTTTTATTTAGACAAAGCATGAAGGTTTTTTTTTTAAAGGGAGTCACAATTCATACATTTCCCAATATGACCCTTTGGGCAAGGACTGGATGAGTTGCTTGCTTTCTTTTTCTTAGCTAGTCATCGCATTCACCTTGAACCTGCAACACGATGAGGGCCTCTTGTGTTGGGCTGAGAGCCTTCAATTGCTATTGATTTTTCAGAGAGTGCAAGTGGAGGTGAGATTGCTCAGTAGCTTGTAACATTGGCACCAAAACCACTGTTTCCACTGTGTTTGCCAGTTTACAGTTCTTTATACACGTTATTCTTTTTTCAGCTCCAAATTGATCCTAATTGTTAATTAGTTTGGAATTAGAAAAAATAATGGCAAAGAAATGTAAATTAAATTATTTTAAAGTGCTCTGGCTAAAATTGGCAAAGAACAGCAAACAGAGTTAAGGGTAAAATTGCTGATCCCAGCCACCTGTTCTTGGATCTTTAAACAGCAGTGATATTTATCATGCTATACATAGGCATAGTTGGACATATTAATTTTTTCAGTGTTATCTGTTCAAATAAAGGTCTAATTTTTAGGAGATACCCTTGATGCTCATTAAATATATTTTATATTGTGTTGCCAATGAAAAGAATGGTGCTATTTTGTAAAAACACACAAGTTTAAAATTACCTCCACTTTACTGAATTCTAAAGCTATGTAATGTGCTCCTCTATAGTTCTGCTTAAAATGGCTTAAGTCAATGACAGGCAATTTTAAAGACACACTTTTAATCAGTATTTTATAATGCAAATCTCTATTCAGATTCTGTTTTTAACCAAAAGTGCATTTTTTTAACTTCATTTTTTATGCTGTTAGGTTCCATCAGAAAATATTATTGCTTAGACAGACACAATACTTTATGAATGGGCAAATACTTTTAAAAAAACGTTATTTCACACATGAAAAATAGCTTGATTATTTAAATCCTGTTTTCTAGTTATCTTATAAAGCCACATTGTGATTAATCAGTTGCCAAAACTTCACTGTTAAAAGAAAAGTCTTCGATTTTTTGGTGGTAAAAGTGTAAAATTTGCAACATTTTTATAATATGTTCATAACTTACAAAATATTTGCTCTCAGAGTGAAAACTTTTCAGCCTTGATCAAATTGTTACCACAAAATTACACATCCTTCAGTATGGGAGTTTATAGCAAGATAAACATACTGGAACCATCTGTTTAAAATGCTTTAATGAACACTCGATAGTTTTCTCTGTTCTGCATGTATTTATTTACAGTATTTAACCAGATAACCAAGCTGATGTTCAGCACTCCATTTCCAAATTTGGCTTTGAAGCAGGAGCAGCAGACATATCAATTACATCTTGTCACATACGAACATAAACATAACTGTATGAAGCAATCATGTTTCTAACAACAGTAGGCAGTGCATAGAAGACCAAAATAAATAAAATGCATAGGACAAGAGGTAACACTTTTCTTTACACTAAAGTTATGGGCCAAAAGGGTGCAAATGCACTTTCAGCTCAAGGTTTTACTCATCTTCCTGATTATACAGAGACAAATGGAGTTTGTTTTCACACGCTAAAATGTGGATGATTAATATCTTTGTTGAACACCAAAGCTATAGTCTCATCACACCGGGTGTGGATTTCTGCATACACCTCCTATTATTGTTAATGGCTAATTAATGTGTAATTTGCAGAAGGGAATGAGACTATAATTTGGTGACATGCTGTGAGCACATATGTGGGTTTATCAATCAAGGAACCAAAAGGGTGATATGGAGTATGGGTGATGGCAACACACCATGAATCAGCTGCTCTCTGTTTATTTTACAGTTCTGCTGCAGGAAAACATTCACCTCCACTAACTAGAGCCAACAACAAAAGTTGAGCTTGATAAATTATTAGTGGAGATGTTCTCAGTGGCTTTGCTTAGATTTGACTCCTCTTGCGCAAATTGCAGATTAGGAAAGGATTAGGTAACAACAGCGTGGCTAAAGTATTACACATAACACTGGCTATTAGCCAAGGAATGTAGCATGCAAAAGCTGACATTGCCTAACAAATCAAATATAGCTCTGGTCATCATAGAAAATGACTGTGGCCATCACCTAAGGTAAGCTGTTCAGTTTCTACTTTGTTACTCAGTGTCTGGCTGCAGCAAAGTGTTTGCTAAAAAGTTATTTTTTTTAAACTTCTAGGTAGTGACAAATCTGTAAACATAGATGAGTCACAGAAACCATAAATGTAACTGAGTGTAAAACCATGTTGGGCCTCACAGTAATATTCTTGTCAAGTCTCAACATGTCAGGTTTATAAAACTGCCGCTGTTTAAATGTTAAAGGTTTTCACAGTGCAACTAACCAGTAGGAAAAAACAACAACCCACAATTGCTTGGAGCCCAATCTTGCTTACCTAGCTCATGTCAAAGGGCCTGCTTTTGTGAGTAGTCAATGGACTACTCCAGTGAGTAAATGCTACTGGTTGTCAGTCAGAGTTGCAGAATAAGGCTCACAGCCCCAGATACTCAATGAATTTCAGTGAAAGCCAGATCAGCACAGGAATATTCTGCACTTATTTGGTGCTGGTGTAAATGGTTGAACAAAGTGAAGGGCAATGGAAAATCAGGCCCATACACTGCAGAGACTTATTAGCATTGCCAACTCCTGAATTTTTGCCCAAGTCTCGTGATGAGTGATGTTTTAATTAAAATCTCAGATGCTGAAGGCAAGTGAATATGTGAGCAGCTCAACTTGTATTTATAAAATAGAAGAAAGTAAATTTCTGGTCTCCCTAGCTGTGAAGAGATGCTTGAAAACATGGGAACCATGTGTACCCTAAGCTCAAAAGTCAGAAGGTAAATAAAAAAGAACCCAAAATGTATTTTTTTTTTTTTTTTACAAACTCAAGATTTTTAAGCCAATTTCATAATCCTGACTTGTGCTTTTGAACATTTGGGATTGGCGGTCCTGTGTATCTATTCCATGTACATCACTTTACCAGAGGACAGGCCCTCAGCCAATGTAAATAGACGAATGGATGTTAATGAGGCTGCACCAATTTACACCAAGATCAGGATCTGTTCCTGCATGTGAGCAGTGGACCAAAAAAAAAAAAAAAAAGAAAGTAAGTCAGTAAATAGTTCTTCTTTCCACAACACTTGTTAGGGGAACTTCACCGCCTCCTCTAGAATTATTTACTGATTTAGTAACATTTTTTTCTCAAGCTTCTCTTCTTCTATCCCCAGGGTTGTGGGAAAGAGCTGGAATTTGCATTTCATCCTGAGGAGGCGAGCCCTTGCAGAAGGGCAATTCATGTATGTGTGTAAGCCACTGAGAAAGCACGGACTTCAGGCTTTCACCAGT